TCAAAAATAATATCGCCCAAATGACCCGAAGGCTTCGGCGGCACACCTCCACTCCGTGGTCAACATTTTTGATGACGTCTCTGTATAGTTGCTCCTCAATCGCACTAATATGCCTTATTATCTCATCCTTCAGCTGTTGAATTATTGTTGGCTTGTTGGCATAGGCCTTACTTTCGAGATGACCCCCAAGGAAGAAATCTAAAGGCGTCAAGTCTCACGATGATGGTGGACAATTGACTTCTAATTCAAATTCTGCTTGAACGCCCATTTTCGTAATAGGCTTTGATAACTTTAACATATTGTTTGATTATTAATCTCTCCATTGTTGAAATTGCCAAAGACTTAAATTGTTAAATCTGAAAGAAAAAGAAAGAAATCATTAGAATTAATTCAAATTTAAAATCGGTTCAAGTTATTGGAACACCATTTATTTGGTAAAGACAACAAATGCCACTTTCAAATAATGCTTCACATAAAACGTTTACGCAGCCTTGTGGGTGATGAAATATTTTCCACCCTACAATCCCTTTCCACAGAGGAAGCGTTGTTAGCCTCTCGTTGCTATGTCACTATTTCCATGACAAATGTTCAGACGAGCTACATTCCTTAGTTCGACAGATAAGACGCGTACACAGCGTCAACTCATCCTTATACACTTCGCGTTCCTTTGGTAAGGAGGATGCTCCATTCAAACAGCATCTTCTCCAGAAACTGCCACCTTATGAAAAGTCTCTTGAGAAGATGCTTCCCGATGACTACAAACTAAAGCCTCTTCAAGTCTAGGGTCAACCGTTATCTATCTTATAGGGCCTCTGTTCTAACCTAGGGAAGGTTACTGAATAGAATAATCACACGGAGGATGGTAATGAACGATAATACTTAGGATACGAACAACACATATAAGATTCGCCAGCGGCGCGTAGAAGGAGTAAACTGCTAGGAGTCAAGTGAATTCCACAATGAATCTTCAACTGCAGGATATCTACCGACCGCCCCACGTGGTCAGATGTGGCACAAGACCGAATTTAATGTGTGGTATCCGAGCTCGTATGCTCGGCCAAAAATTCCCCGTAGACACAGTATAAAACGAGGTCGGGTAACTGTTTCCCAAGATGAGACTCTGCCCTTCGACATAGCCTCGTCTGGGGATCCTCTCTGCTCGGAGACAGTGAGTTTGACCAGCACAGCAGGAGGGGAATCTCCAACTACAGAATATCTACCAACTGCCCCATGCAGTCAGATATGGCGCAAGACCGAATTTAATGCGGGGTATCTGAGCCCGTATACTCGGTTAAAAATTCCCCGTAGACCCCGTATAAAACGCGGTCGTGTAGCTGTTTCCCGAGACGAGACTCTGTACTTCAACATAGCCTCGTCTGGGGATCCTCTCTGCCCGGAGGCAGATAGCTTTGGCCAGCACAGCTGGAAATGAATCTCCAACTGCAGAGCAACATACAGTATTTACTACTGTATTTATATGAATGGGGACATACCCATTATTGTCCGTAAGTATGCTACAACAGCCTCATAATATGTACTTCATTATACCCTTACAAAAATCTCATTCTCTACTTTGAGTGACACTTGGGTCTTATGTCGGGTGATCAATTGCGCAAAAGATGTCTCGCTCCTCTGAGCAGCTCAGTTGCCATTTACTGTTCAAACCAGGTAACCCCGAACCGACAGGGTGCGGTCGCGTTTAGTTTAACAGTCACTGATCCAGAGTATGATTCGTAAGTTATCTCGCATTTTCAACAGTTGTATGCTATTTCACGTCGGAAGGGCGTCAAAGTACTGCATTAAAAAGAGAGAGATATCGGGTGTGTGGTGCAGGCCACATAGCCCACCCTGTACCCATAATAAACCATGAGGCAACGGTTTTTTTTAATCGTATTGTTATTATTATTATTGTTTTGTTCGAGTTAGAAGTAGAGGATAAATGAATACTGGGGCTTAGGGTTAGGTTTGAAATAAATCAAGTTTATGGGAAGAATAACGAGGAGTTGATATAGCAAACATTTTACCCCCGACGTTTTTTATCAGCCTGAAAAACGAAGTTTGGCTTATCTTCCCAATCATAATGCTTAACTGAATAGGCGTAGAAATTTCAGAAAATAGTTAATTTATATGGAGTGCAAAAATTAGCAGCGTCTTTTTTTTTTAAATTAAAGCTAGGAAGCGAGAAGAATTCTACTGAAAAGGATGTGAAAATTTGCATATCTAAAGCCTGTACCGCCTTGAATAAAATGGAGGTTATCTGGAAATCTGAACTATCAAATAACCTCAAGCGGAGATTCTTTCGAGCCACTGTAGAGTCGCTGTTAATTTATGGTGTCTGAATATTAACTAAAACCCTACAGTCTAAGCTTGATGGAACTTACATTCGGATGCTGAGAGCTATACTTAATATTTCGCGGAGACAAGATCCAACTAAATCATAGCTCTATCGATACATCCCTAATATTTCAACAATCTTACGCGAACGCAGAATGCCCTTTGCATGACACTGCTGGCGAGCAAACAAGAATTTTAGAATGATCTACTGCTGTGGACACCGGGACGTGGCGCCTAACGAGTTGGTCGCCCAGCAACCATCTATGACCAGCTATGTTATGACACAGAATGCCTCCCTAATGACCTTCCGACCTTAATGCAGGACTGTAATGGTTGGCGTGATAGACGCGTGAATGTCTGAGCGAACTAGACCGAAAAATACCCAGCTCGTAACAGGTCAGCTATATTTTTTTTCCAAGTTGGACTAGACAGCTGAAGAAGTGAGGTAGATGATGGACGAAGCGTCGGAGACGATTTCGTTTGTGAAGTTCAAGAAATGTGAATTTGACTTGAAAGAAGAAATATGCAGCTGCTGTCCACAAGAAAATAGAAGTCATACGTTGCAAGCTCTTTTGGAAGAAAGAACTCATCATGAAAATGTGGCGTCGATCGCGCAACACTTTACAATATATGGGGAACATTCACAAAGTATGAAAATTGGTTGTACAAGAATTTCCAGCAGGAAACCTTGCTTAGTACCTTACCATTTTCGCTTCAGTTGTTGACATAAGCGATCCTGCTGGAGAAACTCGGTTATGGGGTGCAGAATTAATTTCAACTCGGAAGTAATTTCAACTCGGAACTAAATTTGAACCTGTTTAATTTTTTTACATTGTAATTTGTAATAGAGTTCTCTATTTACGAACGTGAAATCTGTGAAAATCTTAGTACACAGATTTAAATTTCAATAAATCTGTGAAGATTTCAAACGAAATTAAAATTTATTTTCTTAAATTTTGATCAATAACGGTTTCTTTTGAACGAGAGTTTTTTACAAAAAAAAAAAAAAACAGCTAAGCAATCTATTGTTCTTGCTACAAAGAACACTGCATTTTTATTGGCTCAGATTTAAAGGAATAAAAATAAATAAAAAAGTACCACTTGATTCATTTTCAACAAAAAAGAATAAAATTGTCAGAAAAGATGAAATCTGAATTATCTTACCTACTAAGGATTTTTAATGCTAAATTAAAAAAATAACATCAACATTGTATTTTTTTTTAGGAATTCACGGAAAATGATAACATTGATTTTAAATCGAGTTGAAATTAGTTCCAAGTTGAAATTAGTTCTGTCACTCCTCGTTTATTGAAATATTATCAACAGCCTTGTTAAGCAACCAAAATTTTATCCTTTTTGTAAAAACTTCGTTAGAAACAAGGAAAAGAGTACTAAACTGTTACATGATATCAGTTTTCCTGTATGTTAGTGAGTGCTGATTAATCTCAAAGAAGAGACTTGAAGCAACAGAAATGTGGTTCTACAGAAAGATGCTGAGGATACCATGTGAGCAACGACGAAGTTTTAGAGAAAATGAAAACAAAAAGGAAATTTATGCGTAACATCAGGAAGAACAGATGAAATTCCTACGGCACATAATGAGGAAAGAGGGCTTGGAAAATCTGATACTCATAGAACAGATTGAAGGGGTGGAGGAAAACAGCGCATAACATTCTTAATGAGTTTGAGAGCTACAAAGCAAAGTAAGTTGCGGGGAGTCATGATCGCCTACGTCCTGAGGAGGATCCGGCACATAAAAAAAGAAGAATCTGTTGCGTTAACTTGCCTTCCTTTTCCCTAATTAGTAGGCATCTGTCTTGATCTGTCATGTGACCTTTAACAGCCAATCAGCTTGAAATCCATTCTGAATTGCGAAAACGTACCGTGAAGAGAATCCATATCATGTTGAACAGTTTTTCTTCGGCAGATGAAAATTTCGAATTAACGTTCAAAAAATTGAAAATCATGAGTGGATATTTTACCTGAGTTTTACAAATTATGTGGGACTGTTGAATAACTTTGGAACAAAAACTTTTTTTTCAAAAGTTATTCAATATCGCTTAAAAATGGGACAAAAACTTTAATTTTAAGTTTAAATTAAAGTTTAGGTTTTGGTTCCGAAACATGGTAATTTCTATATCGCGATGAATACATATTTTTAAATAATAATAATAATAATAATAATAATAATAATTATATATATATATACACAGGAATTACCATGTTTAAGTTATTCCAAAATTCGCTTGAAAATGAAACAGAACTAGGGACTTTAATTTAATTCTATAATTGAATTTGAAGGTTTTAGCTTCTGTTCTGTGTGTGTGTCTGATCATACGTGACCAGTTGAACACGTCCCTAAAAGTTAGATGCACTATTCGTCTCTGCACATTAGCGTGGGTAGTGAGAGAGTATCATATCTATGGGTCGAGCAAATTTTTTTTTAAGTTCGAAGAGGCAAGCAAGGCGATTCAAAGGTATTTGGGAACACCCTGAATCAGAAACCGTCTGAGCGAACTGCGTTATCCGACCTGGAAGTTGTCGCCATATTGTGCACATTTGTGACGCATGCGCCTGGTGTAGGTTTATCAGACCAAGTGTCAAGATGGAGATGTTGGACGTCGTATATTTGTAAATTATGGTCATTTTTATTAGCAAACTGAGTTCTAACACAATAATAATAATAATAATAATAATAATAATAATAAGAAGAAGAAGAAGAAGAAGAAAATGTGGAGGAAGAAGAAAGAAAAATAATAAGAAGAAGGAGGAAAAGAAGATAGAAGATGAAGAAGAATAAGAAAAAGAAGACAAAAAGGAAGAAGAAAAAGAATAATAAGAAGGAAGAGGAACAAGACCAAGAAGAAGAAAAAAGAAGAATAAAACGAAAGAAAAAAGAAGAAGAAGAAGAACGGAAGAAGTGGAAAAAAAGAAGATGGCAGAAAAAGGAAGAAGAGGAAGAAAAAGATGGAAGAAGAGGAAGGAAGAAGAAAGAAAAGAAGGAAGAAGAAAGAGGAAGAAGAAAAAAGAAGGAAGAATAAGAAGCAAAAATGAGAAGAAGAAGAAAAAGAGGAAGAATAAGGATCAGGAAGAAGAAGAAGAAGAAAACGAAGGAAGAAGGAAAAAAGATAAAGAAAAATGAAGGAAGAAGAGGAAGAAGAAAAAGAAGATGGAAGAAAAAAGAAAGAGGAAAAAGTATAAGGAAGAAGAAGTGGAGAAAATAAGGAAGAAGAAAAGAAGAAAAAGAAGAAGAAAAAGAAAAAAAGTTGAATTTTGATAAAGTGACTAGTTAAAAAAAATCACAAAGAAAAGGGATGTTTCCTAATCGAAAAAATTTAAGGTTTGTTGCTCGGAGCCTTGATCTCTCTGTACAGGTCATCGTTACTTAAGGACACCGATAGTTTACGATTGACGGGTCGTAAATCGATCTGTTCGTAAGTCGGCCTGTAATTAATGTTGCAATCTTTTTTTTTTATCTTTCTTAGAAATCTTTCATTTTTTTTTGTCAATATCAATGTCCTTTCTTTCCTTCTAGGCAGGTTGAGGAGTAGACAAAGACAATTTCTTCTTGGTAGACAGCTTTGAGGATTTTGAAGAAAAATATCAAGGACGTAAACAAACTCTTGTGAAAGTGCGTTGTACCCAGGCACTGCTGACACTGAACTTGATGCGCACGATGGCATGCCAGCGCTGCCTGGACTTGGAGCGGACATTGTTGTACACCAAACTGGGAACTACTCAGGCTGACAGACGCCGAACAGTCGTGGCAAGACGGCCAGACATAACAATTCGCGGTTGTAGTCATCAAGTCGAACAATCGTTAAGTTGACGATGACCTGTATTTTGTAAGCAAAAACTGATATTTTCTTGGTATTTTTTCTCTGGAAATATGAAAGTTGAATTAAGCCATATAAGAAAGAATCTAGACCAAAATTTGGTCAAGAAATGTTATTATTTATATAACTTTTATACACAGTTTGATTGACTTTGAGTCCAAAAATTTGAACGGAGGATGAAGTCACCATACAATTTTCCCTAACTCTATACCGATATACAAATTTATTTGTAAGATGACACCCGAAAGAAAGATCTTACTTATTATAAAACCCAGGTTGTGTGTGTGTGTGTGTGTGTGTGTGTGTGTGTGTGTGTGTGTGTGTGTGTGTGTACGTTTATATATTGGATCGGATTTCCTACATCTTTCAACCGATTTCAACAAAACTTCACAGAACTGCGTAAAATTACCTTGCAATGGTTCTGACAGCGCCAAAAAGGGGAAAAACACAATTGTTTTTGCACGAAATCAATTTGAAAACACGATAAAACTCGATTCTGTCGCCAGAATGAAAGGGGGACAATTCATATCGAGTTATACTTATTATAAAACCCAGGTGTGTGTGTGTGTGTGTGTGTGTGTGTGTGTGTGTGTGTGTGTGTGTGTGTGTGTGTGTTCGTTTATATATGGGATCGGATTTCCTACATTTTTCAACCGATTTCAACAAAACTTCACTTTTTGGGGGCAGGTAGTGTTTCTTATTGTCTTGCACACTTTTTTCTTTATTCAGAATGCTTTAAAAATTCCATTTACAAGACAATTGTTTATAATAAAATTCTATTCAATCGATAGACTCATAACAATTGAAAACAATGTTTTTGTTTGAGTTTGGGTTTGACCAATTCGTAAAAAACCCGAATAATTTTTGTCAATTTTATTTTTCAGTCTTTATGATGGTCGATACTAGATCTATCTCTTACTGTTATATCCCAGGGCAACGCCGGGGTCTCCTGCTAGTATTCTTATAGATATGAGGAAGCCATAGAAAATCGAGTAGTCAAGACAGGATGTACTCGAGCAATTAATTGACATCACCACTGACCTTTTCACAGCCGACACCGTAACTACTTGTAAGTTACTGTCCAAGAAATATTGGTCAGCGGAAGAAATCTTCGTTTGCTGACTGACGGTCGAGTGACAGACTAAGTCTTAGAAACTAGCTAAATTACTGTTGTCTTTGTGATATGTTGGGAATAATGCTGATATCTTGGTATTTACTCTGTCTGCCCACTGAGACAAGTTGTGACACAAGGTCTTTTTTAAGGTAGGGACCCGAGCGCGTACACCCGGGCCAGGAACAAAAATTGTTTCGCAGCCCCATCAACTGTCGGCTGCGCTGACCTCGGTGCGAGCACCGATCCCTCTCTCTGGTGCATTGAGAGGGCGCGGACTCGGGCAGCTGTTCTCCAGGTCTGGGCACCTCTCAGTATAATTTTCCTCAGTTGCGACTCTGTCCTTTGACGAAGCCGCCCCTGAGCACACTCTGCCCAAAGACAGAAATGCAACTGAAAGATGATAAATAATGTGCTATAAACCCCTCAAGGGAGGGAATTACACACCCGACTTAGATGTGGCACAAGGCCGAAAGTATGGGGCACCCAGTGAGGATCGAACTCACTACTCAGTCGTAATTGATCTAGCAAGACAAGCTTTCTAACCATTACACCACGTCGAGGTGCCCTAAAAATGATTTTCTAAGCGTAGCTTAGATGTGACACACAGCCGAAAACGTAGAGCATCCAGTGGAGATCGAACTCACTTTTCAGTCGTAATAGATCTAGCGAAGCAAGCTTGTTAACCATTACACCACGTTGAAGTGCCCTTATGCTGATATCTAATAACTCACAAAAAGGATGTGGTTAGGTAGGCAAATAGCACCGAACAACTGCAAAAGGTTAAGCTGATAAGTTTAACCCTCGACCAAATACGTTATTATTTTTAAAATAGATAAAAATGAAAAGGTGGCTGTGTCATATTAAATACATAAATAAATAACTTAATAAAAATAAAAAAAATAACTTGTTTTATTAAGTATCTAAATAAATATATAAAAATGAAAATAAGCTGCTATATTAAGTGAATCAAAAAATAAACACATAAAAATAAAAAGAGGGTGTGTTCTATTAATTTAAATAAAAGTAAAAAATGAAATAAAAAAAAAATGAGCGTTTGTTTTATACAAGATGAGGCAGAAATATCTCCCACATTTTAGACTGTCACCTGTATGGCGCTAGTAAACTTAAGCAAGTGGCAATGGTGACTTGTTCTAGCTTATGCCTTACCATTATGCAGAAGGTATTACCGGTAGGTATAGGCGGGGACCTTTCTGTTGCATACGTTATTCTTTTTTGTCGGATATCAAAGTTCAAATCATTAATGCACACCGTCTCAGATATATGACCGTGGGGATGAATAATATAATAATAATTAATGTGCCAACATACACTCATTAATGGGTAATAATAATAATAATAATAATAATAATAATAATAATAATAATAATAATAATAATAATAATAATTATTAATATATGACTGTGGACATTAATAATATAATCATAATATATGGTTGTGGGCATGAAGGAGTTAAAAGTACTAATACAAAACTGTAATAAGTACCGGATGTTTTATTTTTACATTCTTGATGTGAAGTCGCAAAAAAAAAAAAAAAAAAAAAAAACTTTCATTTTGACGAAAGACCTGTCTAAATCTAAAAAATAGCGGACATGTCTATCCTTTTTTATATCACTTTTTAATGCAATATTGATATTCTTCTTACATATTGCTGCATTGACAGAAGTTATGATCGAAATTTAGTTAATTTGAAATGAAAAAAAAATTAAGTGGAAAAGCCAATTAAAATCATTTTATAACGATAAAAAAAATGTAGATGTTAGCGGAAATAAAAATTGGGGAGTTGTAATTCGGAGAGCCAAATTAATGGTATTTCCTGTTTATTATTAAAATAAAATATAAATAAAAACAGTTAATATTTTTTATTGGTGTATTAACATCTTAACAGGTTTCTTGTTTTACTTCGAAAGGCAATCAAAATAGTAGCCGCGTTTGAGATGAAACAGCGGAGATTTCATTTTTTTCTTTTTAACACTTGGGCGTTGAATTGGAAAATGGAGGCAAAATAGTTTTCATCCGGTGGTAATGATACAACTAAAGCTTGGCGTTGAATCATATTTAAATATTAAATGGCTACATCTGTACAGAGTCGGTCAAAAGCTGGTAGACATTTGAATTGTTTTGATTTTCGGATTCCGTTCTTTAAAACTAAACAAACAAATGGTGCTGAGGAAACGTCAAAAACATGACGTATTTGTAAAGGAATCCCTCGATTAGTGTGGCTAATGTGTACGTCGGTAACTATAAAAAAAAGAAAAAAATTCCAATTAATATGGTTAAAATGAAGAATGTTTTAACGCAATAATTGAGTATTATGTATGCACTAATCGAATTTTGATATATAAAATATTAGCGCACTAATAAAAAAATGCACTAATCGAATGCGCATTAATCGAGAGATGTCTGTACTACTAAATGGATTTGAAGCCTATTTTGCGAACACACACGCACACATATACACATATATAGGCACGTGGCCGAGTGGTTAGAACGTTCGTTTTCTGACCATGCGACCTGTGTTCGAATCTCACCATGGTCGATTTAACAGGAACATTCATCACAGGAACTTATCCATCACCAATCAATCCTCTATATACCATAATACATGGTCTCAGAGAAACCTACAAAACGCACCCCATGACATAAAAATTTCAGGTTTATAAAATAATATACATAAACATTTGTATATGATATACAATGAGTGGGGAGGGGATTAGCCCCAAACAAACTAAAAATATCAAAACAAACAAACTAAAGATAACTGATGTTAGTTGGACCCGTCCAGCTCCCAAAAAGAGAGGCCGCTGTATTCAGCCCTTAGACAGAATTAAGTGGCTCTCTCACAATGCTAGAGGGAAAGGATAAAATAAAGACAGCCTCGAGGAGAGAAGAACGCTGACCAAGAGGGGGGAGGGTGCAAAGCAAACTGAAGAGTTTGGGAATCTCGACTAGGATCATAACCAAAGAATAAAACCATCGTGGTACTTGTTCCATGTTCTGGTAGCGTATATATATATATATATATATATATATATATATATATAAACAAACAGTTTATCAATCTAATATTATTAATCTTATATTTATTGTCATTTTTTCGTATTTTTCCTTCAAACATTTTTCATTGAATAATATAGACATATTATACCCTTTTTTATTATTAAGCAAAATCATATAAACTTCAATAATTCAGATTTGGTTTAAAAAAAAAATTGTCAAATTTTAAACGATTAAAAAACCAAGAAAAAATTTTAAACGATGTCAAAACCAAGAAAAAATTAAAAGTTGTCGGTTCCTTATTCATATATATATATATATGCTGCCTAAATATATCTCATTCATATATATATATATATATATATATGTGCAAGAATTCATGCCAAACAATCAAACAATTTGTATTCTAGTATTTGGTACGTTTATACTGTAAATAGACCCACATACGATTTTAAATTCAGATTTATCCTTCTCCTATACTGGTTAAAATTCAAGTCTGTCCTATTATTTATTAACTAGAAATTCAGTCTGTCCTGCTATTTAACCCATAGCTAAGGGAGGAAGTGATGTGTTCATACCTTTCACAAGGATATTTGTGAGAAACTGAATGATCTCGAACTGAATTCGAACTTAGGTCACTGATGTTTCGTTCCGAGCATCTAACGTGCACATCCAGCCTAGGGTTGCTTACGCCTAAAAGATTTCTAACGCTTTGACATCCATATTGAAAGTGATACGTTCATCGGTGCCTGTGTAACCTTATCGAAGGAACTTTTTTTTACCTATTACAGATATCAGAGAAGACTGAGTTCGGGTCCCGCCAACATCTAGGAGGGTGAC